TACATACATATATATGAACTATGTAAGGCCATAAAAAGGTTTGCTTTAGGTTTTTTCTCTTAGAATTAGGGAATAAAAATTTATAAATTATGTGCTTTCTTTGAAAAGAGCTCATTAATTTCATCAATGTTTGCTTTATTGTAATTTCAGCCCATGGTGTGTGTTATCAATGCTGGTACAGACTAATCTGTTGGCAGCAAAAAGAAAAGTTTGAACAAAGCAAACCTACATCTGAGGACGCTTTTGATGGTAAGTATGTAACTGCTTTTGATTTGCTCTTTTGTGGTATTAAAACACATCCTAAATACATAATTTCATAATACGGAATCATTATCCTCGAAATTTTTCTCATTTTTGCATGCATTCGTTTACTTAGGTACTTTTAGACCCTATGCCAAACTAAATTTTAGTAAACAAGTATTCTACATATATGCCTGAAACTTTTTATCAATCCTTTGCATACGACTTATGCTAGCCCGTTGTTTCTGTACATAGGATTTTAACCATCAAAAAGAAACAAAAGAAAAAACATTTTTTGCGCGTGCCTAAGCCTGCTTGTGACACTCTTGTTTACTCTACTCTCATTGACTATGTAAACACCTTTGATTGAAAGCTAAGTTAAAAGCATTCACTTAAGGTATAAGTAAATATCGTGTTGAATAGCATGCCGTGGGTTCAATCAAAGTGTGCAAAAAATTGTTAGTGGTGTGAGTGAGCTTTAATTGATGGCAGTAATCTGATATAATGGAGCGCAAAGACAAGTGTTTCACAAGTTCACAAATTGAGTGCTTTTAGGTATTAGTGGGAGTGAGAGGAAAAAAGTGCAGAATAGAATTGTGCTTCAAAACTGATGGTTTTAATCATGATAAAAACATAGTAAGGTAAAACCGTTCGCTCAGTAAAATAAAGGAATTGTTCAAAGTTGTTGTTGTTTGAGATTGAAAATGAGAATGTGTGTGTGAGTTTGAGTGTAAAATTTTAAAACTAAATTGTTTGCAAACGTCAAGAATTTGAAAAATTTCTCTCAGCGGTTCTACCTTCCTATTTTTTTATCATGGTTTTAATTATGAAATATTGCTTTTCCCAAGCTTTCATTACGTTTCACCCGTGTGTAATCAAATCTTACATCCAATTTTTAACGATTAACTTCCCGACGAGCTAGATACTTGAAACTTCAATCTTAGCTCAGAACCCGACGGCCATACTATATGAAAGAAGAATTAATCCGCTAGGTGGTGCAGGTGTCCATATATTTGAAAAGCCTCTATTTATCGTTCGACATGTAATAACTCTACAAAAAATTGTGTCAGGTAGGTGGCGCAGAAGTCGAGATATTTTGAAAATCCATATTAATGGTCCGATATAATTCATATGTAGAACGTATCTATAATTGCTCAGTCGTACGACTTAGTTAGGGCGATCTGGAGTAGCTACAGAATTCAGTTAGTAGTAGTAAAATTGGCGGAAAAAATGATAGTGAGCAGTGTAATCTATTGAAAAATATTTACCAAATATCCGTGGAATTTTGATTCGGATTCGTGTTATTCGTAGTTTTCAAATTTATTTCTCGAAAGCAAAAAATAAAAGTAGCTTAGATCACTTTCTTTTTTAAACACCTAGGATATCACTGACAAATTTAAAGGGCCCTGGATGACGGTAAAATTCAAAACTGTAAAAATTTTTTGATGAGATTTTTGAAATGAACGATCCAAATTAGCCGGTATACATATTTATATATTTTAAAATTTTTAGAATCAGTGGTTGAATTTTTGTACTGAAAGTGTTCAGAAAGTTTTAGTTTAAAAGCGTGATACTAAATGCCTTTCACCATGAAACGGCGCCAATTTTAAAAGATTATTGCATTTCAGACTACGGCTAATAAAGCCCTTGGACGGATATTGTGAAAGGTTGGACTATATCTACCTTAAAAATTACTGTTTTCTCACGGCCCACTGTACGAAGCTATGAGTAGAGTAAGGCGCTTTAATAACTTAAAGATTATCTTGGGTTATCAGGTCTCTAGCAATACAAGATTTATTGTTGTCTTTCACGAAGTTCTTTTGATAAATTTTGAGCTAAATAATTAAATAAATTCATGAACATCACGTTTTATTTTTTACTTAAGTATAAATACTTAGTATCTGCAGGTATTTCTTTAATGTATTCACCCGAATTTCGGGGGGTTAAATGCTCAAATAAGAAATGTTTAAATAAAAACTATGAGTTGTTCAAGGATGAGGATAATAGTTTTACTGCCGGTTTCGCTAGTAATTTTATTTATTCCCTTCTCTCAGTTTTAGTATTAAATTCAAGTAAGCCAAATCATCTTTCACTTACATTGCTTTCGTGAATTCAAGAAGCTATTACAGATGTCTTCTTCTCAAACGAAAGTTGACTGATAACTTCAATGTCCTTTTCTTAAGTTTCCCTCTGTTTGCTTTATTTTTCACCTATTTCATGCCGTAAAGTAATTTTCCTTCGCTAATTTTGTAACAACCAGCTACGTATTGTTTTCATATTGAAGTTATTTATTACCGCTCGTGACCACATTAGCACCGATTTTCGCAATATGTGGCTATATTTTATGAGTTCACAGCTGGAGAAAATGTGCGCACGCCTTTGTTAGCTAATTTGTAACGGACAATATTAAACTTTTATTGTTAACAAACAGTTTATTATAAGTATTAGCCAATACAAATATGGAGTTCAATCGGAGAGAACACAAACCAATTGGCAAGCCCAAAAGAGGTTTTCGCCAGACCTATCGCGCTCTTTGGTGAGGCGCCTTGCCATTAGTGGAATACCCAGAAGTGTCTTTAACATCGCTTAATATGTAATATGTAGGAATGCTTGTCATGTTTGTCGTTGCATGCTTTGCACGTTGATTAGATAGAATTTGGTGTCAACCGTGTTTCACCATACCATGTTTCACCGCTATAGGCGATAATAGGTCGTACTATCACTATGTGTCTTTCATCTGCGGTCATTACCTCCAGTCCTTCCTTACTGTATGCTTGTCGTTTTAAAGAAAAGTTCAGAATAGCTAGTAAAATCCAAAAACTACGCTTCTTTTGACAGTTTAAGATAAGCAGCATTCAGAGGTGAAGTTCAAAATTAGACCAGTCTATTTAGTTCAGTTTTTTTAGGATTAACCTCCATCTCATTCCCTCCGGCTCACCTTGGCAGATCATTAAGTGCAGATTGAAGAGCTTCGCTGACTCTCGAGATGCAAGATAACTACATCGTCTGAGTACGCAACAACACTTATCACTTTCGATGTATGTAGAAGAGTGTAAGCTTAAAAGTTCTGCTTAAGCAAGTCTTTAAATATAATCGATTTTATATTGATTGGCGCTGTAAATTGTCGTTAGCTTGGGTGTTATTTGGGCATTGGTTCCCTGAAGCAAACCAGGTATCATTCCGTTCTAGGCGTAGATTTAAAGGCTTGGAAGGATTTAATAGGTTATGTTAGGTTAGGCGCCAACACGGGTATCAGGGGCTCACGTAGACAATTAGGGGATTGTGGTTTGTGATACCACGCCTCGAGCCGAATATGTAATTAGAATTCGGTTAATCTTCATGGCCCAGAGCTCTTCGGCGCTATTAAGGTTGTGAGAGCCAAAGTACTTCAACCTTAACCTCGCAAACGCTGGGCACCTAAGAAGGTAGGGTTGGTAGGGTCATCTTCCAGGCAACTGCAACATACGGTATCCGGTAGAACATAATATTATGTTTAGCATTACTGCGTGAATATCGATTGGACAATGACCCATTAAAACCCCCACCAAGAGTGAGAGCTGTGGCATTGTAAGTGTGAGGGGTGCCTTCGAACACCCCTGTCCACCCTCGGCCCGAAGGACCTTGCAATCGCGGATGTCCTGGTTTTCACCCAGCGCTCGATGTAATCCCGAAGTAATCGGACGCGACCGCGCACCTCCAACTCACTTAAGGCCCTGAAAGCCGCTTGACGACCAGAATAAATGCTCCCCTCCCTGACTGTCATCGCACTCCGGAACAGTGAACATGACGCTGATGCAAAGCTCTCGACAGAAGACCCCACCACCAACTCTGCCGTCCAGTTTGGATCCATCCGTGAAGAAGTTCACCGCACTCCCCCTCCAGAAGTTTCTCCCGGCACACTCCTCTCTTGAGGAAAAGTGGGCAGAGAAGAAGCTAGTAGGAGCCATTACGATGGCGCAATAATCAGTGCGATCAGCGCTGAAATCGAAGCTCCTTAAATCTCCGGAGTACCCAATACTTAGAGCAGTTAACCAATCGGTTTTCCTGAGTCTAATAGCTGTTCGCGCCGCGGCAATTTGGCCTGCGACGTCGACTTACACTAGGTTCAGCATTACGTTCAGTGTATTTAATAGCTCATGCCACCCTAATTTCTATGACGACTTTTACGATTCCTGTGATGAGATTGGCTGTCACCTCTACACTGCCACATCTAGAAAGTCGTCATCTATTACATGTGTCGTTTCTCCTAGTTTTTCCAGTAAACTGGGTGGAGTAGGACTCTTAAAAGGACATAAGTTCAATAACTTAGTTTCTGCGTTTGGTTCGAGGACTTAACGCCTTGTTTATCTCCTAATCGCCTCCTTGAAAGAATTGAAGCTGCGACTGTATGCCTCCGAGTCTTCCACGTGCTTACTAAACATCGCTCTATTAAAAGCTTTTAAGTTTAGTACAAATTGTTGATTTAGCTAAAAAGTAAAATCACTGTATGTTTATGTGTAATGATGAGCTTCAACAGAGTAGCGTCGCTGAATTTTATTTTTAGTAAACTTTAACCATTTCCTATTAAATTTTAAATTAATTAATGCAATTAAAATTAATGAATATTTTCTTTGCAGATTTCATGGAAATATGGATTTCGATATTCTAATATTTTGATCATCAGCAAAGATCGAAGTATTGTATGTATATGTACACACGTTAAAAGAGCTTGGCAGAATTGAAAACACGGCTATAAACACTGACGCCATCAGTCCAGCCAAATGGAGTCCAACATATCGAATTTATTCTACATCAGCCTACTGGCGAGCTTAATGCCACAACACACACAAAGCGGCAACAGCGACGTTGGTGAACCGCCTGGTGGACGTGAACACATCAGCTCCAGTTTGGCTATGGCACGCGCACGCGCATTAGCAAATATTCAAGAACAGCTGCTGCCTAATTTGAATCTCTTTCAATTGGAGCCCAATGAGTTCTTTAGTCGCGTAAATGGCGCTATCTTCAACATGACCTTCAACGAGACCTACGAAGATGAGTTGGTATGTCACAATGGACAAAATGCCATTGCCAATCTTATTACAATGATACTCTATGCTATCGTTTGCATCATTGGACTCTTCGGTAATACGCTCGTTATCTATGTAGTTTTGCGTTTTTCGAAAATGCAAACAGTCACCAACATTTACATACTCAATCTGGCTATAGCTGATGAGTGCTTCCTCATTGGCATACCAATTTTATTGTATACCATGCAAGTTGGCAGCTGGCAGTTCGGCGATTACGTTTGCAAAGCTTACATGGTGAGCACATCGATTACACAATTCACATCGTCGATCTTCTTGTTGATCATGTCAGCGGATCGCTATATAGCCGTCTGTCATCCAATTTCATCGCCACGCTATCGCACACCATTCGTATCGGAGCTGGTCTCGGGTTTTGCTTGGCTGACGTCGGTGCTACTTATGTTGCCCGTGATACTATTTGCCAACACAGTGCAATTGAATGAGGATCACGTGTCGTGCAACATCAAGTGGCCCGAAGCACAAAATACACAATCGGGTACCACATTTATACTGTACACACTGACATTGGGCTTTGCCACACCGCTTACCTTCATTCTAATCTTCTATTTTCTGGTCATACGCAAATTGCATACAGTGGGTCCAAAGCAAAAGTCCAAAGAGAAGAAGCGCTCTCACCGCAAGGTGACCAAACTGGTTCTAACAGTGATTACAGTATACATACTGTGTTGGCTACCCTATTGGATATCACAGGTGGCGCTCATCAATTCGTCGCCAAGCAAATGCGCATCGAGACTTGAGATCACCATCTTCCTGCTGGCCGGCTGTCTAGGCTACTCGAATTCCGCAATGAATCCCATACTCTACGCCTTTTTGAGTGACAATTTCAAGAAGAGTTTCCTGAAGGCATGCACTTGCGCCGCCCGCAAGGACGTCAATGCGCAACTACAACTGGAAAATAGTTTCTTCCCCAAATTTGGCAAAAATCGTCAATCGGATCGATTGTTCTCGCCAAAGAAGGCAAAACAAAAGCAGAAGGCGCTTGTGACGCGCAATCATAATGCAACCAATGCGAAGAATACTGCTGCAGCGGCGACGACAACAACTACCGGCACTACAACGACAACTGGCACTAGCGTTTCTGCGAACCAGTTTATTGTTAGCCCTGATCCACAGTCAAACTTTTTGCCGCCGGTGCATGCGCCCGTCATCACACACAACTCGGTTGGCAGCGTTGTGATGGGCACAAATGCCACAATGCTTTTGTTGCCTGACATATCATCCACAGGAGTTAAGTTGGGACAGATGACAGCTGATGAGCGGTCTACGCAACCAGATGTTGTTGAGATTAATAGTAAAATGCCAGTATTGCACACAGATTTATAAGACTTGGCTATGGGTGGTCGCACGCCAGTAGAGACGATCGTCTATGTGGCAAGGAGGTGAGTGTCAGCAAAAGCGGTTGGCAGCGAGAAATTGATATGAGATACATGTGTCAAGAAAAACGTAGGGGCAGCAAGAGAGATTGGATGTAAGAACGGTATGGCCGCGTTAGTTTTAGGGCTGGGCAAGTAAAGAATAATTGAGATATGTTTGGAGGTCATAGAAGCTTAGAAAATCTTACAAAAAATAATTGGAAATAAAGGATTTTTAGCTATTGGTAGAGTGAAAACGATAACTGAAAACAAGGCATTGCGAAAAGCCCATAAAAACAAGAAAAATGTAAAGTCTAGTAATTGAATTTTTTTACTGAGTGAATCTGAAAAAAGTAAAAAAAATTACTACACTGTGTAGGAGTAAAATTAGATCATTAGGGTGTGTATAGGGAGAGCACACACTATCGATAGTAGTTACCAAATGTTCACACATACTTCAAAATAGGGTTGAAAGTTTTATCCAACACTTTTAGAATATAACAGAAAATGGTTTGGTTTTAGAGCTTTTGGAAGACTGAAAGTGGAAACTGGACTAGAAATATTAGCAACTGAAACTCTTGTTGCAAAAAAGAAATAGGATTTAGGAATTGCAATTTTTTACTGCGACATTGCGTGACGTACTTAAAATAATATTACAGAAATGATAAGATTAGAATTCTTTGGTAGAAAAAATTTCAAAGCCATCTCATTCTCTTACAAAATAAACCATATTTTGACTTAAATAAAAATTACTAAAGCATATTACAAAGGAAAAGACGGCCTTTGGCATTTTCAATAGCTAACAAGTAATTTTTAAGCAAAAAAAAACAAAACCGACTTCAATTTCCATATACAAATTCAAGATCATCGTTAATTTCTTCATGTTCCAATGATCGGATTTAAACCACCTGTGAGGTAACACGTTTCCTTAAAAAAAAAACAAATTATATAAATCGGTTAACGCGGTCCAAAGTTATGAGGTAACATACATACATAAAAAAAAAAACTGACGAATTGACAACCTTCTCTTTTTTGTGAAGTCGGTTAAGAATTAGATGAATATAGTAAATAAATAGTATAAACGTATCAAATTTTACATAGAAAACTCTGAAGAAAGTTTTTCCCAAAAGCACAGTCTATTATCATCCTTCTCATATCCTCATGACCGTAGAAAGCTTTAACCCTGTGCGCATATACTAGATATGTATTCCAATGGTGAGCAGAAAGCTAATACCCTATGGAAGTTCGTGTACGGCTTCACTAGTCAACATACATATATAGTGTAGTGAAGACCTGAAAGAGCTTTTTCTCTGTTCGCAATAATACAGAATCTACAATTTGCTTTAACGAGTTTTAACCCATTCTATTCTTTATCTATTTTCTTCGTACACAAAAGTTCTAGAAAGCTTTAGGAGCTTTCAAAGTTCCGCTGGTAATGTTGTGTGCTTGTTCTGGAAACTAAAAGCTTGTTCCTTGTTTCGGAGCTGTAATGAGCAGATGAGAAGCTTTTAAAGTTCTCTAGATAGTAAAATCTTTTTTTTGCCAAAGCAAAATTGTAAGCGTAGTTTCTAAAGTCGCCATATTTCCACTTTTTTAACTTTTAGGTACGTTGCGATCATCACATGTCTATGTACCTACGTATATAGTACAGTGACGTCCAGACAAAGCTTTTCCTCTGTGGGCACTTACATAAAAACTAAAGAGATTTGTACATATAAAGTATGTATTAGCAAAACCTTCATTTGTCCACGTTTGAGCTTTAAGGTATTTAAAACAGGGATGCGCAGAGAGAGCTTTTACTCTGCTCGCGCATATACAAAAAGAGCTTTGCCCGCGGGCAAGACAGTGCCCATCAGTGATTTAAAACCACCATCTTAAATATTTTCTGGATTTTGTAATATTCTTTTTGAACCAGTAAGGCTTGAAAACCGTTTCACACAAAAATTGCTAAAAAGCTTCGGTCTCCAAAAAACTCAATTTTTCAATGTTTTGTATCTTATTTGAAAACCGATTCGAAAGGCTAAATCAGTAAAACCGAATTAGGTCTAGAAATTGGCATTGAAAATTTCCTTTGACGAGTAAGCTTTTCTGATACTAAAACAGGATAAAAGTTAAGATTCGCAGTAGTAGGCACAATAAAATTCAAAACCTATTACTTTATTAAATTTTTTCAAGCGAGTTTCCGGAGAACAAAACCAAATTGAAAACTTTATAAGCTCTCTATAAAGCTAGTCATCTTTAAGCTTTGTCATAATTTATGCGAATTTGTTTAACATGAACCTTTTTAATTGATGTGCTCCACCACTCACTTTAATTAGTTTCATTCATTAATTAATTAGTTTCATTAAACAAGAAATTTAAGCAAATAAATTACTTCGTGTGGAAGACTTAGCTAACATAAATATATTAGCTAATAAAATTATCTTTCGAATTTTGCCATTCAAGCCAGGCTATATTATTCCGTTTGTCAGGAGCTTTCCACTAGCTAGCTCTCACTTTTTTCCTTCGCCACATCTGACTTGTACTCATACAACTCTGAGAGCGGATTGTAATAATTTTATAGCTTAAAAGTTTGGGCCAGCTTTTAAAGCTCATTCATACATTTCAGCTTTTTTTTCGGAGTGTCGTCACTATTTCTGCATCTTGGCCCAAGTCTTTTGAAGCTGTTGTGTTGTTTGAGCATGGCATATGAGAAAAGTTTATACATATATGTATTACATATACAGGTATTTGTATTATAGAAAAAAATTTAAATCTTTTTGTAATTCTTTATGTGTTTGCTTATTAATTTTAAGAAAATAAAATAAAAACAATGAAAAAGTAGTTTAAAGTAACAACGAACAAAATTCCGCAGTTCCTTATGCATAGAATCTTCTCGTTTATAAGAACTTGGAAAAGTACCAAAAATTTAATCAAAATAAATGAAAAATTATTAGTATACAAGCAAAAAAACACAAAATTATTACTCTGTAATGAGCCAATCGAATTTATCTGTTACGGTGTTAGATTTCATATAAAAGGAAAAAATATTAGAATTACTTTTAGCTTAGAGTTGTGTGTGATAAAAAGTATTTCAAAATTAAAAAAAAAATTTAATAACTGATAACGTATAATAAATTGAATTTACATATCGAGCGCTAACCGCCAAAAAATTTCGCTTACGTTGTTTTGGTGGTTACGGCTCGATATAAGCATTATTTTTCTAAATTTCAAACTACAATTTTGTATTTTAATTCAAACGAGTTTAAGCAGATAATCCCCGCTATAATTAATATTGGAATTATTTAATTTAAAAATATCTTCGAAATTAGTTTTAAAAATTCTTCTTATTCTTTCTGATTAGCTGACGAACATAATATTTTTTCTTGAGGTTAAATACATTTACTGCAAACAAATATTTAATGCGGTTAACGCTGCTCTGTAAAATCTCAATATATACACGCTTATATTTTTTCACATAAACAAAGCCTTCAAGACTTTCGAAGGTGTTTTTACAAAATTTTAATACAATTCATTTACTATTTAAACAAAACTTATAATTAGTTAGAAGTAGATTGTAAGAATTGTAAATGTAAAGAAATAAATTAAAACGACAAAAACTCAATGGTTTTTTATTTTATATTTTTTTGTGTAATCATTTATTTGGTAAACCAATAAACATTGTGGTTGTTCACGCTGGCCTGGTTATTGGGTTATCTGGTTTTATAGTTTTACAGGAAAGACACCAAGGGACACACATATAAGTAGCTCAGTACAGGTAGAACGAAAACCCCAATTAGAAAATTTTAAAATCAAGTCTCGATATGACCCATCATCTTACCACTTTCCGATCCAAGTTGGCTTTGGTAACACTTTATAATAATACCCCTAGTAGTAAAGTAATTGCAGTAGCAGCAAGCGAAACTCGTGCACCAAGTCATTCATATTTTTCCTTTTTATAACTTTCAAACTATAGAAACTACTAAAAATAAATGCATTATTTTTTTATTACTTTATGGTATAATAACTTGAACGAAATAAGTTTAGCATTTTACAATCTATGAAACCACCCAACCGATTTAAATGAAATTTTTTGGGTGTGTAAATGATCCGATAAATGGCGCTATTGTTGAGAATTTTTTTTACACAAAAATATTATTTTTTTATAAAACTTTATCAAAGTAGAATTGTTGTCCCCATAAATAGCGTCATTGGCGAGATGTATTTTATTTTTAAACGACATTTTTTTCACTGATTTCTGAAACCTCGCAAATGATTTCAAAGAAATTTATTTAGTGAGTACGGCGCTGTTGTCCCCGGAATACCCTTAATATATCTCCATAGTTGTAGGGGGGGTTTTTTTATTATACTGGTCGTATGCTATTTTAGTTTAACTTAGTATTTGCGTTGTGTAAAAACCTCTCAAATCTGCCTTATGCATCTGGAATTCGGAAATAGGCAGACGAAAATAAATGTTGTTATTTCTATATTTGCTGGCAGCCTGTTTAACTTCTATATACATATATAAAAATGTTTTAAGTAGCGTTACCACCCATTTAAAAACTATAATGAGATAAATATATAAGTTCACCTATCTCAGCAGTATGAAAAGTATGAAACGCGGTAGCCGCTGGTGGAAGCAGAGGAGAAGGTGCAAAGGAAAGCTTCATTTACCGATCAAACCAGCTCGATCTGGTGGATGAAATGCCTGCAAAAAGTCACACGCTTCGTCCCGAGGTAGACGATCCATGCGATGTGGAGACAAATAAGCTTGTCCAATTCTGTTGCTCCTATTGCAAAGTGTAGAGATAATACATGCATAGTTGTGATTTTTTTTTTGTTAAAAGTCAAATTTTAGATATAAATATCCCTTTTAACCCTTTAATCCCTTGTGCGTATACGTAACTTTTTTCTAACATTCAACGTCACATATCGTGTCGATTGTAATTTGCCTTGACTAAAGTTGATATTCAACAATTTTGAAAGTTGTACAAAATTTTATATTATTTAAATAAACCTAATTTTACTCAAATAATAGTAGTTGGCACACCTCTTGGGGTATGTGCACACAGAAACCAGTGCTGAGCCGACTGAAGCCGTTCCGCGTTTTCTTTTTCCCTCTTAATCCTCTTCATATGTTTTATTTCTAGACGATCGACAAATAATCCGAGTAGATTGTTGGGTGTTCCAGAGCTCGGATATTCGTCTCCCAACACATCGCTTTCAAAAAGCCTAATACCTAATCCTTAAAGCACTCCGCCGTCTTATCCACTTCAAGGCAGGAATGGCGAATGCGGTTTTCATGTATGCCCATCACAGTGAGGTGTTTATGCAACGAGAAGTGACCAGTCAACAGTTCCTCAAGTTGCCTGCAGCCCCGTATGCTCAACGAAAGCAAATACCTAGCAAGACGCTCTGTGAATGAGATCAACATGAGTTTGCCCAGCTGCAGCCGCTTGAAGCCTACAAGTCATAACCGAACGAAACATTCACCTAAATAGTTTCTGACGGTGGCTTCGATGACCGAAGGTGGGAGTACTATAACTGCTAGCGGAACAAGGCATGTCTGAGATGAGCTTTCTCTAGCCA